ACCAAATGTGGTGTTAAGTGAATTTTTAATAATGTACAGTTTTTGGTGACTTTAAATTTGATCCTTTATATTTTTTAGGACCAATTCATGGTTTTTAAGAGGAGGTATTACAAGAGTCTGTTGTATTAAGGTGATGTAACACGTGTGCATCTGTAGAATGTACTGTGAGTTGAATAAAACACATCTTGTAGAGACTATTTGCTGCCGTGTCGTCTTATGGCTCAGGTTTTCTTTGTAACCTCAGATGTTAAGATGTTGTACATCTCCATCAGCTGAGAACTATCCAGCAGAAAAGCCATTCAGTGTGTGTGTGTGTGTGTGTGTGTGTGTGTGTGTGTGTGTGTGTTAAATTTGGACGAGATGATTTATGACCTGCATGGTTAATGGCGGCTTTTAGAGTTTTAGTTGTTTGGAAAAGTTTGAGAACTCCAATAATTACTGATGGTGATAATAGTTGCCATTAAACTGCAGTTGAATCTTTTTTGCCTTTAAGCTTAGCATTTAGCGCTGATATAAATGTCTTCATTCAGTTTTATTAAATCAAACAAATCTGTGCAAATGGGTGTAAAAATGTTCAGTTTCTGCTGTGTCCCACACACATCAGTAAGATCCTAATTAACAGGTACAGCAGACTACAGTTGGTCTTTTAAAATGTTTGTGATTTAGTCAACCTCTGCTTCTTCTTGGAAACATTTATGTTTTTATCTTAATTTCTGACTGAGTTGATTTAAAATGAAGGCCAAACATTCGTTTATTGAGTTGAATAGTGTTTAAGGCTGCCTTTAATAACAGAGTTGAACTAAGATCTCATGATGAAACCCAGAGGGTTTCTTTGACTCATTCATGCATGTTTGAGAAATCCTTGAATCTCCTGTGGAGCTGCATGAATGCTTGCTGGTACAAAGCACCGCCCATTTACACAAAGCCCCTCCCTGAAGCTCAGTTTGCAGCCGAGCTCCCGCCCCACAGAGAACCCCTCCCCCCAAGCATTGTTTTGAAGACGTGCTGAAGTGGGAGTGTCGGAAACAGTAGCAGGTTCTTAAAGTGACAGAGGCCAATTTCAAGGTGTTTAGTCACATTTATTTTTTAATATATAAAGCTTTCTCAAAACAACTAAAGGTAACAAACACACCAAAAGAATTGTTGGATTTACTTATGTCAACATTTCCACTCAACTGAGTTAAGTGTAAAGCAACTTTCACACATTCTTCAAAAATAAATGTAAAAGTTGCTTTACACTTAACTCGACTGAGAGGAAATGTTGACATAACTTGGTTAAGTAAATTCAACAATCTGTTTTTTGAGTGTAGTTACTTGATTGTGATATAAAATTGAACTAAGAGCCTGGAAAACACCTAACAACCCCCGCCCCCTAATCTTTCCAGTCAAATCATGTAAATGATGCTCAGAATCTTATGCAATATGGTGAGGTCTGTTAGCACTCCGTATATGTTGTGTATGACTCACAGCTACTACCACACACTACGTATAACCCAGTGTTTTTCAACCCTGGTCCTCAAGGCACACTGCCCCATATATATATTAATGCTGTCAAATGATTAATATTTTTAAGCTGATTAATCCCAAAGTAGCTGTGAATTAATCATGATTAATCTTAAATATAATATACATTTCTATCGCATATTGATAAAATAAATTACTTGAGTTATTTATTAGTTTTTAATGTTTTTATTTAGAAAACAAATTTGATGCTTAGACATGATTTTTTGAATATAAAACAGGACCAAAAAATGCTCCAAACACATTTGAGTCAGTTAAATTTTGTGCAGAATAATGAGGTTAAATCAAGAATTCAAGGATTTTCATTCTAAATGAGTACTACATGAGGAATGAAGGATAGATATAAAGGTCATAGTTGTCAGCAAAACATGAATAAATAAAATAAAATAAGCCTATAAGAAGACAAAAAGAAAAAAATGTACATAATGTGTTATGGAGTTTTTATTTATTTTATTTAACCTTTATTTATCCAGGTAAATTGTTTGAGAACCACTTCTCATTTACAAACATGACCTGGTATGCACAGACATGGAGTGCATTGCAACATACAAACCTACATATTCAGCCATAGTAAAGTGATTGTAAAAAAAAAATTGATTAATCGTGATTAAAATTTTTCATCTATGCCCAGTACTAAAATTAACCAATGTGAGCTAACTCGATTAATTTACTTGACAAAAAAAGAACAAAAAAAAAAAAAGTAAATTAAAAAAACTATCAATCTTAATAACTGATCAATTAAATTAAATCCTTCCAAATAAGTTGGTACTTTGTAAAAATTGGAGTATAAATGGATAACATTTCTGTATTCCTAGCACTTCTGACAATTTATATTTTATTTTAATCTTTTCAAGATTTCATATAAGAATATATCTTTCTTTAATGTATTTTTCCACTGCATGTTTTAGAGGTTTCTCTAACACACCTGGTTCAGATGATTACAGTTCAACAAAAGCCTGTTTATCAGTTATAACTTGAAATCATGTGTTGAAGCAGGGAAACATCTAAACATGCAGGACAGTGTGCCTCGAGGACCGGGGTGAAAAACACTGTTCTAACTCATCATCTGTAAATCTGATTGTTATATACCTTTTTATATTTGCTGGGGTGACCATCTTGTAATAAGTTGACTCTAAAAGTAAATCTGTTGCAGATGTTTTTCAAATGAATAGTTTCATTAAAATCTATCCGGTGGGTCAGGACATATTTTGCTAACAGACACAGGCCACAATAAAAACGATTGCCCTTTCACCCTCAGTGGCAACAGTCATATATGATGATGTCAGGTCATTTCCTTCATGTAAAATGTTTCAGATTGAAGAAAAAGATTTTTGTTTGTTTGTTTGGGTCCCTGCAGCTCCCTGCAGGGTCCGTCTGAAACACATGTTGCTCAGAACATCCTCTCGTCACCCCCAGCTGCTCCACTTTTATTTCATATTCATTCACATTTTATTCACTCACAACCATAAAACAAATAAAAGTTAATATTAAAGTCCTCTTCATTGAGTCTGATTTATCTCTTAGAGCAGTGGTCTGCAACATTCATGATCTAAAGCAGTGTTTCGCAAAGTTGGGTGAAATATCAAGGTGGGGTCCTGAAAAGATTTTCTGAATTAATTACATTTTTTCCTTAGTTGTTACAAAAGGAGTGAGGTTAGTATATTTAAAATGGATAAATGTAGTATAAAAATATTGTTACTATGCCCATGTTTAGTTGACCTGATACAAATGTTTATCATCCAAAAATAGTTGGGGGTACAGGTCTCTGCTACTGTTATTTTGTTGGTTAAAAGCTTAAAAAAGTTTGGGAACCACTGCACTGTTCCCAAAGTTGGGCTTGGGACCCAATTATGGGTCATGAAGCACCTTGGATA